CAATTTGCAAGTTCAGATGATGTGAATGTGCTTGAGTTAGTCAATCTCACTTTCAATGAACCTATAGGTGTTGCATATCTTGTTTGCTCCTTAATTGGTATGCGCTCATATGCGAAATAATCTCTGAAAAGAAAAATTAACTATGCAAGACAATCTATATTTGAACACATTGGATTATTATAATTATTGAATATAAGTGTGTTTATTTATTATTAACTTATGTATAAGAATGTCCATATTTATGCATTTCCCTCGCATTAAACATCTTATACTTGTCTAGATGTCTTTACTGCATTAGGGCAAAAATATTACTTGCGGACTTTAGATAGACAAAAATATGACTATTTTTAATCTAGACAAACAAGTAGCCTCATTCAACTTAACCCATCCAATCTTATTCCCGGCATCTCACCTCCCTTTACTTCCGCGCACAAATCTACTGATCTACCATCTTCTTCCCAGCTCCAAGCCATCCAACCTCTAGCCATCAAACCTCCATCTTCTCCCCTGGCTCCAAGCCATCCAACCTCCAGCCAAGACACAACACCTACGCCGCCACAACCACAACAACCATTTGACCGTTGCAGCCGAAGGATTTTTGGCCTTCATTCGTTGAATTAAGACTAGCGACAAGATTGTGCACAACGGTGGGTCGACCTTCTAATTTGGCGGCAACGGCGACGAGAAACTCTATCTTCTGAGAGCTTCATCGGTGCGACAGGAGAAAATTCGATGGTCGACGATGAATTTCGTGGCCAAGGAAAATCTGTCGTTCGCCTTGGGGCTGAACAAATCCGCCGCAGATCTGGAATTTTTTGCTAGGGAGACAGGGGTTAGAGCAACTGGGGAGCGGGCTAGGAAGGGACCCTCGTCGGGAAGGTGAGGGGGGCTACGAAGGGGGTTGGTAGGGTGGTGGTCAGGTTGGGGCATGGGAGGGGCTGCATCGGGGTTGGGGTTGACAAGGGGGTTGGGGAGGGCAGGGGCAGTGCAGCGGCTGTTGCTGGAAGGGGCGACGGCAGCCATTATAGTGATGTGGAGGTGGTGGCGGCAATCGGAAGAGGAGAGGCGGAGGTCAACGGATGAGGCATGGTTGAACGGTGTACTGGGCAGTGTCACTGAAGTTGTGTCATTGTGGCTGACACCGACGCCGGTCACAAGTTGAAGGAGGAGGAAGTGGTGGATGTCGCTGTGTGGTATCACTAGAGTAGTGGCACTATGGCTGGTGTCACTATGGTCGACGATCGGCGATGGTCACTGGTCAAGTGGCGCTGTGGCGGCAATGGTGGATGTGATTATGTTTGTGTCACTGTAGCATGTCATGTCACTAGGGGTAAACTAGTTAGCTTACTACTTATTAGTCACAATTTTGAAATTTAAAAAATGTCACTTTTTTATCTGTTGTCTATTTATTTGTAATATTTAGGTAAAAACCCTAATCATAATATCAATGCTAAAACACAACTAAATTTTACATCTTATATTTGTCTAGATATCTTTTGCTTACTCAGGTGAGGACGTGAGACATGAGTGGAATTAAGTTGTCCATGTAAAACTGACGAATGAGCTCATAGTCATAATAACAAAGCTAAGGATGTTTTTACTTGGACTGAAATTTGTTGGTTTGATCTGGTTTGTTTGAGTCTGGTCTGATCTGAACTGGTCTAGTCTGGTCTCGGTGTATTTTATAACTATGGAAGTCCGTTCGTTAAGTCTAATCTGGAACTGAAAACAGTCCAACTAAAAACATCCTAAAACGCAACTAAATAGTTCTTATTTAACTGTAACAATATTCCTTTTTAACAAGTAAAAATACTCCTGTATAATGGTAAATTTGAGTAAAAAACATTGACCATTATGGGGTTTTTCCTAAATAAAACTTAAAAAAATGTGACTATTCAGTACCACTAAAATTCACATTCTTATTCACTATCTTGACTTTATATTAGTCATATAGATTGCTCACCATTTCTATTCAAAAATAAAATATGCAAAACTAAAATTACAAACAATATGTCTTGAAAAGCTTATGCTTCAGTTTTACTTTATCCCATCTAATGTTCGCCTCCCCGGCATTGATAGCCTAGCTGTATCTTAAGCAACCAAGATTTTCTTGAGGGAAAAAGAAGCATCATAGCAAATTGGGAAGGTGGGTTAGGTGGCCATAATTTGGAAAATAACTCGCAAGGTAGATAGTCAACCATATACTAATTCATTATAAGCAGTAGAATGAAACGCAGCCAATCGTGCACTACTTCATTATATTAACCCTGAACATCATCTTAACGCATAACAAGTTACACCAAACATACTCATATTCTTATGTAATAAATGTAAAAAAGGATGACACTCATCTCTGAGAACCCCCAACACCGACCGGACAACTGGGAGAATGTAAATTGGGCTTCAATCATAAATTGGCAGATAGCGAGTGGGGCTATGACCCACTTGTAGAGGCTCTATGTATTTTTACATAGTAACCTCTCTCGCAGTTGCTATAATTCGAACTTGAGACTTGCCGCATGTAGTACTCCCTATCTACCAATTGAGCTACGCACTCTGCTACTCTTATTCTTATGTAGACCACAAAGTCGTGGACTTGTTCCCCTAACAAGGAATCCTAGAACTTACAAGGAATCTCCATATTTATCATTACTACTGTAGTGAAACCTAGAACTCTGGAGAATTGAGAGAGGTTAAGTATGGAGACCTCCCAAACTTCATGACAGGATGAAAAGGTTATGACAACAAGCTGCTTGCCTGCAATACAGATTCGGGACAGACAGGTGACAATTCAGTATGAATCAAGTGCCTTTCAGCCTCACCACATTGAAAGAGACTAGTTAATAGGCTAATAGCTTCACTGGTCTGAATTCATGAATCACTGGACTCCAGTTACTCAGTTACATAAGTTCGTTTGAGAGTGAATACTCGCAAGAAACGATTCATAGCTGACCAGGTCATCAATATCACAGTCAGTCACCTTTCACCAAAGGTTTGTGATGTCAAACATAAAAGGTAAAATGGGCCGGAGGGTGACAATCAAAACACATCCTACTCTGGAATGTGCATTTAGCCTAATGTGATGTCCACAACACAAGCTAATGCCTGTCTCAAAGATTGAAGCCAGAGTTCATCAAGTTAATCAATAGCTTCTTCAGTTCTTTACTCACTTCTTTCAAGCAATAAGCAGGTTTGAAAGTTTGTTTTGGACTTTTGTGTTAGTTTGTATAAAAATTAATAATGCCCGCTGGTAGCCTACCAAGGAAATCGGAAAATGGCAGAAATGGTTTTGCTTAATCGAAGTAATCGAGGCAAGCTTCCCCAGTTTTCTTCGTGTAATCAAGAAGTTGAACAAATAACTTTTTTACATCAGGTTTGTTCTACTTGAATTAAAACAGGTTCTTTTTTAAGTCATTGTCACATTACATTTGTAATTTTCAATTCTATGCAATTTTGATTTTGAATTCGATGGTATGGCCAAGGTAGTCAAAGTCGAAAGGCGCACTTGAAGCGCTAGGGGCCTTCCAACGCCTGAGGCGCAAGGCGCAAATAAAGCGCTCGCCTGACTCGGGTGAAGCGCATTACTTAGACAAAATCACATATACTATTCTATAATTACCAAACATGTTGTATGTAAAATCATATTGAACCAAATACATATAAAATTCACGATTCACCAAAATAAAGTCATGATTTACAAAAAAAAATAGAACACCAAATTCAGAATTCATGACTTTAATACTAAAACTATAAATAAAAGACAATCAAATTGGAGCCTATTTCCCCTTGTTAAACTTGTTAGCCTACATAGTATTATTACTTTATTAATAACATAGCAATATACTAGTGCTGTGAGTAACATAGAGAGTAATACAGAGTATTATGAGTTTATGACTATCATATACAAAGCAATATACTGATGATGCTGTGAGTAATATAGAGTAATACTGAGTACTATTACTTTATTATATACATAACAATATACTAGTGTTGTGAGTAATATAGAGTAATGCAGAGTATTTATACATTATTATGAGTAGTATAGAGTATTATATACATAGTAATATACTAGTACTTTATTATACACATAGAAAAATACTATAAGAGTATTTAGATGAAGAAGACTGCATGAACAAGAACACATATCTTGTTTAGTGGTGTGAGGGAGAACTGAGTTTGCTTAAGATGATGAAGAAAACTGAAAGAACTGGTTGGTGTAGTCGTGTAGAGCAACTTGAGTGAGAAGAGTGAGTAGGCTGAAGAGCCGATGATGGCTAGCGATATAACTTAGTGTTTTACTCAAGGTTTTAAGTTTTTATGTACTTTACTTAAAGGCTTTACGCAAGTTTAAATGGTTTTACCCTATTATTTAGATGGGCTGAGTGTTATTAAACATCTGGGCTAATTATTTTTAAAGTTTTACACACAAAAAAAGGCTTGTCAGCCTTTTCTGGACCAGGCGACCTAGGCGTGCGCTTCAGCGCTTCATGCGCTTATTCTGTGCCTGACCCAGGTACGTGCGCCTCTCCTTCTCCCAAGCGCTGAAGGCCCTGCTCGTTGCGCCTGGTGCGCTTAAGCGCTGGGGCGAGCGCTTTTGACTACCTTGGGTATGACATATAGGCATAACTGAATAAGCATATTGGTAGTCAACTAATCAGTTTGAGATTGAAAATTACTAACAATAAACTCTTTGTGTAAATATACATTTTCCGTGAGGATTGATCTCTTTTCTCTCTTTATCTTTTATCCTTTTTATCTTCTTTATCTTTTTTATGTTCTTCTGTTATTTTTATCTTTTATCTTTTTTATGTTCTTTTATTTTTATCTTTATCTTGCCTTTTTATCGTATGTTATCTTTTTCTTTTTCTTATTTTTCTTTTTGGCTCCGGTATCATGGATTGATAATTATTAGCCGACCTCAAAATCGTTTTAGAACAAGACTTAATTATTGTTGTATTGTTGACAAATGATGAAGAAATGTTTTTGTTTAAGTATAGGCATTATGATGAAACTCACCCCATGCCACAAAACATACAGGTGTGGGGGGCAAGAAGAATGATAAGAACACAATCATCATTATCATCTTCATAACTTAATCATAGGCTGGACTTGCTACAAACAGATGGAAAAAACACACTAATCGTCATACCTCATACGGTATAATTCAATCCATTCATCTATACAGCCAGGGACATATTTACTTTTCAAGTTATATCATTATCACACAAACTAAATAACTAAGACAGTCACCTCCAAACTTATGATCTTCCTGAAGAGAGCTAGCTGCTCGCATTAAGAATCTTCATCTCCCAAAACAGAGCAGCTCACGTCAAGAATCTCTAATAATGACATTGCCTTGCTCCTCCCCTTCTCGCTTCCATTCTCTGCAACTTCTATAATTCCACCTACTGCGCCTAAAACTAATCCGCGAATGATCTCAGCCACCTCTTGCCCACTGCACTGCACCAAATTCAAAAGTGCAGAGACTGCATTTTCCTTGGTTCTATTGCTTGATCCAGTGGCGTCGTCCAGCAAGTCCACCAAGACGCCGACACCTGAGACCTTTCTGAATGCCTCCCAGCTCTCCTTGCAGCCGGCTATTTGGGCGATCACCGCCGTGGCATCTTCTAGAACGCCAAGTCTGCCGTCTTTGCAGAGCAAGGAGAACAGCGCAGGCACTGCCGCTAGGTCAATTATAAGGGACCGATTGAGAGGGTAAAGCGCGACGGCAAAAAGCGCTTTGAGCGCATCCTTGATCGATCTAGAAGCCGAATTAGGGTTTCTCACGATGTCGATTAGGCCAAAGACGATGTCCCGCTTGTGGCCGATGATGGGCCGGAATTTCTCCTCGGTGAGGAGGCTAAAGACGGTGGCGGCGGCGCACTGGGCAGTAAAGGCGGAAGATGGGTTCCTGAGCGCGTGTGAGAGGGCGTCAAGGAGTCCGCGGGTGGATATCAGAGCGTCCTTAGATGAGATGGAGAGGTTGTGCAAGGCGGCCGTAGCGTTCTCTTGGCAGACTTTGTCGGAAGAATAGAGCGATTCCGCAAGGTAAGGGATAGCGCCGGCGTCGGCGATCAACTGCCGACTGTCGCCGTCGTTCTTTGAGACGATTCGCAGCTCACAGATGGCTTCTGTTCGGGCCCGCTCCGATACCGAACCCAGTTTCGTCACCAGACTTTCCACCGCCCGCCTTTTCACCTCCATAGCTTCGTTCCTGGTTGATGTTCTCGTCGTCGTCTTTTTATTACTGGACGCCGTCCGCAAATGATACCATAGGCGCGTTGCGTTATCCGGTGTGAATGCCACTAGATGCCTTTGTGTCAACGCGCGTAGTCACTCTTTCATCTTTTTCTTTGGTCAAAGAGATATTCACATTTTGTTTTTCAACATTAAAGCATCTACCGTTAGGCTTCCCGCAATCCACGGGTTGAATAGCCAAATCTGAAGTTTTCACCCTCAATTTTGCTACAACCCACGTATTAGGAAAAAAAAAGAAAAAAAAAACCACGTATTAGGGGAAAAAAGGATGACACCCCATTCTTGAGGATCCCCAACATCGACCAGACGGCACGATGGGAGATATAAATTGAATTATAATCACAATCTGACAGATAGAGAGTGGAGCTCTATCCCCCACATATTAGGCTAACCGCAACCCAGTCCGTCAATAAATTTAATTCCCCACTAGTTTATACGTACTCACTCAATCAATTCCGTTTTTTCCTATAACCCAGCACTGTCAATATATATTCACTCAACACATTTTTTTAATTCAACACTTAATTTTGTTATTATACATCATTTTTTTGCAAATTTTTTTTTTGAGAATGATTATGATATAAATAGGTAAACAATGTGATGTAAAAATAAATAAATTGGAATTAATTCTTATTTTTTTTAATTCAGACTTATTTTTTTCTAAAAATAAATGGAGGATGTAAAACAAATTAACTATGAAACCTTAAGTTTTAAAACCTAGATCTAGTTAAGAAAAATTTAAGATTTAAAGATATCGATCAAATGAAATTTTATTTATTCATTTTTTAAATTTATATATATAATATTGGTGTCATATGAAAGATAAAAAAAAGTTATGAATTTTGATATATGTTTTGTAAAATTTAGACTTCAAATAAAAAAATTATATCACTTTGATCTAGCTGCCTTTTATCTAGTTGTCATCGTCCCAAGCTCTGCGTGCCGCCTCCCATGCCCCGCCCTTCATTCCCAACTAGCTGATGCCTCCCAGGTTCCGCCTTTCGTCCCCAACCATTCGCCGCCATCTCACTGTACGGCCGCACTCCAACTCGCCGCCTCCATCTACCCGCTTGAATGTCCGCCTCCATGGGTGAAATAGGATGACTCACGGAACACTTCCGTAGATGAATACTTCAATTAAAATTAGGTTTGGATTTTTTTCATATGTGTGCACACTCTAGATCCGCTACAAGCTTATGCCCAACATTCTCAATTCCCGTCTTTTCTGTTTTTGAAAGTTTGAGTTTCTAAAATTAGGGTTTCTGAGCATTAAGTGAATATGGACAATGAACATCATAATAGATATAGTTGAGAATGATAATATATATGTTGTACATGCATGACAGTGAATGAATACATTATGGAAGTTTGTTGTGCAGTGATTATGACCGGTATGCAGTAACACAGAGCAGTAATTTCGCAATAAAACACAATATACTTAATTTGACGTAAAATCATAAAATTATTAAATCTAAAAAATAAAAAATAAAAACTATATGAAAATTTTCGTAAAGTCAGTGACAATAGAATCAATTTTGGCATAAATGCAGTGATTATCACCAGATGTGCAGTCATGTCGTGCAGTAACGACAATATAAAGTGCATTAATTCTAATTGGACGAAATTAGTGCAAAATGCACATATTTTAAATAAGGGTATTTTCATCATTAACATTTTAATATATATGAAATTTTCTATTTTTTTTGGATTTTCGGTCATACAAAAGTCCAAAAACTAGTTAGGTCATAGATTGGGAAACTCATTGAGTTTTAGTCATATCCTATTAAATTTCTCATTTTTAATTGGCTATTTCTCATGCCACGTATTCACCGTTCACGTCTGTGCATTGGAACCTCGATATCTCGTACTCCCGGGGACTCCACACGTCCCCTGGAATTGACACGGCTCTCTCTTCTTGGACTCCCAACCTCTAACCCACCTCCACCAGTTATTCCCATTCAACCCTCTCATCCCATGATCACTCGAGGGAAGTCTGGTATCTTCAAAACCAAATATCCTGTTCATTTGGCCACTTCACCTTTACTATCAGCTTTGATTGCCTCTTCTGCACCTCGTGGCATCAAATCTGCCATGAAATCACCTCAATGGATTGCCGCAAAGAATGATGAAATGCATGCTATCCAGTCCAACAACACTTGGGATTTGGTGCCTCGTCCTCCTAATACCAATATTGTTGGCTCTAAGGATGTTTTTACTTGGACTGTAATTTGTCCCAGACCAGACCAGTCCAGACCAGACCAGACCAGTTCAGACCAGATCAGACCAGACCAGACTTGGATAGTTATAAAAATACAAAGAAACCAGACCTTACCAGACCAGACCAGACCAGTTCAGACCAGACCAGACCAGACCAGCAAATTACAGTCCAAGTAAAAACATCCTAAGTGGGTTTTTTCGTACCAAATTTCGTGCTGATGGGACCATCGACCGCTACAAGGCTCGACTTGTGGCTCAAGGATTCACTCAAATCCCTGGGGAAGACTTCTCTCACACCTTCAGCCCTGTTGCAAAGGCAGCCACCGTACGTATCATTCTGGCTCTCTCAGTGCATCATCAGTGGGCACTCCATCAGTTGGATGTCAACAATGCGTTCTTAAATGGTATTCTTTCCAAACCTGTTTACATGGCTCAACCACCAGGATTTATTGATCCCCGATTTCCAGATCATGTTTGCCGTTTGAAAAAGGCTCTTTATGGACTTCGGCAAGCACCCTTGGCATGGTTTCATCGGTTCAGCACTTTCCTTTTTCATCTTGGGTTTCGTCAAAGCCAGTTTGATTCGTCTCTATTCTTTCTTCATAGAGGACGTTCCATCATTTATCTACTACTTTATGTAGATGACATCATCCTTACAGGCAATGATTCTGCTTTACTTGGGAATTTTATTCAACGCATACACCGCGAGTTCTCCATTAAAGATCTTGGTAAACTCAACTATTTTCTGGGTCTCGAAGTCTCCTCTACGCAGCATGGTTTATTCCTTGGTCAATCTAAATACGCGTGTGATTTATTGGAAAGCTTTGAGATGGTTGACTCCAAACCTGTCTCCACTCCCCTGGAAGCCGACGACACCTTGGTCAGCACAGGTCCCTCATTTTCTGATCCGACCCTCTATCGATCTATCGTTGGTGGCCTGCAATATCTGACTATTACTCGTCCAGACTTGTCTTTTGCGGTGAATCTTGTCAGCCAGTTCTCGCAATCCCCAACCGAAGCTCACTTTCATGCTGTCAAGAGAATTCTTCGCTACGTTAAAGGGACTATTCACTATGGGCTCTCCTTCGATCGTCTGCCGAACCAGTCTATTCTAGCTTATTCGGATGCCGATTGGGCACGATGTGTTGAGACTCGTCGTTCCACGTATGGGTATTCCATTTTCCTTGGCGGAAATCTCATCTCTTGGAGTGCTAAGAAACAACACACAGTCTCTCATTCCAGTTGTGAATCCGAGTATCGTGCTTTAGCAAATGCTGCTTCTGAGGCCATTTGGGTAGTCAACTTGCTTCGTGAACTCCAAGCATCTCCCCCTTCGGTGCCACTTCTTTTATGTGACAATAAGAGTGTTGTTTTCCTAAGTCAAAATCCCGTTGCACATAAAAGAGTGAAACATATTGACATCGACTATCATTTTGTGCGTGAACTGGTTTCTTTGGGTCGTCTGCAAACACAATTTGTTCCCTCTCATCTTTAACTTGCAGACATCTTCACCAAGAGTCTTCCTCGGCCCGAGTTTGAATTTCTGCGATCCAAGCTCTGTGTTTCATTACATCCCACGCATCGCTTGACGGGGGTAAAAGTGTTAAGGAAACAATTAAATAGTAGATATTTTCTTCCCTTGTATATCCTTTGTATAATTATGTATATTATTTACTTTCCTTTTACTCATGAAACTCTTGTACTATTTATACTGTAAGAATCCTATGGAATTCATATGGTGAATAAAATACTTTTCATACAGTTGGTGAAGATGAATCAATCTTGATCGTTATTTGTGCAGACCGACGTGTGGGTATAGGTATGGTGAGCCGTTGTTGTCTTCTTCAAGTTGGACTTCCATTTGCAAAGTGGTGCAATCATCATGCTTGATATTGTGGTTATCTTGGCAATGCGATCAACATACTCAGAATTGTGGGTGTCTCTTGACGCGGTGCAATCAACATGCTTGGAAATGGCAGTTAAGCTTAACCATGCTGCTTCAATAAAAATAACATTGTAACTTTTTAGATTTGTTTAACTCAGAGTTCTTTGGGTCTTTAGTATTACAAATTTAAATTGAAATAAAAATTATATAAGAGTTGAGTAGTTGAGTCCATATTGATTGTTGAAAATTTAATAATTCAACACATTAGAACAGTTACTTGTATCCGTTCTATTTAGTAAATTGCCGCACAAACCCACTCAATATGGATGTACAACGCAATACTTTCCCTTTCATCACCATGTAATCACGCGTCATAGCGTGTTGTTTTCTACTTTTGTGCCCTTTCTAGTTATTGTATAAAAATATTGTATAAAATATTATGAAAAAGAAATATATATATATATATATACATTTATTTTATACTTGATTTTCTTAAATAACATTTAATACTTTATTATTGATGTAAAATATTTATGTTAATGACTTTTTCTTTGGTGTCTAACTTGTTCCTAAAACTTAGCTTCTAAATGCCAGATAGTTTTGATAGCTTCCCGGTAAACCATCAGTGGTATAGTAGAGAGAAGGGAGAGCTAAATTTTAGAGAGAGAAAGAGATTGTATGAAATGGCATTTGAACTCTTTGCAACTACCCGAGAGTATTTATACTAGTAATACATTAGGCGGTGCATTAAATGCACTACACGTGTCGGCTATTTTATAGTGAGAGCCCTGTGGCGTAGCGGAACTTGACGCATGTCATTCTCTAACCGACTTACGGCCAAGTGTTCTCTGTTGGCCGAGGTGACGATGGCCGATGTGATGGTGGTCAAGGTGCAGGGGTGCACCCCGGGTCTGGTATTGCCCTTATTCCTGAGTGATTGTCTGGGATATGTGATCGATGTGTCATCATCGAGATGATGAGACCGAGATGACTGTACGGACAAATGACCGTTGTGTATCCAAGAGTGTGTGAGCC